CTCCACTGCTCTTAAGTTTGGGTCATTCACTACAAACTGATGTTTTAGGTAAGTACGTAATACTTGATTTTCCCCCTCTTTACTAAGGTCCTTTCATTATTTCCCGCAGTGAGTGCTGGATTCTATTAAACGTATTTACATTTTTCTCCTTAAGCACTGTTTGCTGGGTTTTCACTTCACATGTTCTAACCATCCAACAAATACCATGGTTTTGCAAATGTTTACACTGAGTTCATCTTATTTACTTTTGCACAAAAAAAAGGGAGTTGTTCTTAATTCTAAAAATACTGAACTTGTTTAGAGAAAAAAATGATTAATAATTGCTAAGAATTTTAATTTTCTAGTTGTTACGAACTGAAAAGCACAGCTGAACAGCAAACCATGGTACTATGAAGCTTAAGGAAGATGTCAGACTTGTTCCCACATTCACCATAGAGCAGATCTTCACCAACACTAATGAACAACTTCCAGCAAAGGTGGAGCCCAAGTTTAGCAAATACGTAACTTCATCAACATGTTCGTTGGGGTTCAGTGCTCATGTTCCAAAGGCAACACGAGGTATCAACAGACCTTCAACATTCCCAACCTGCCCACTCCTTCATAAAGTGGCAAGGGCTCCAGCTCCAGGAATGGTTCCATGCTGACTCACTTCTTCTGCAATACCCAGAAGAGCTAAGACAAACCACACACTGAGAATTATTACTCCAAGTTATTGCTTCCCTTGGGCTATTTGAACAAAAAACAAAAAGAATGTATAAAGTGAATCCAGATTTTCCCAATTTACTCTTTAAGAACATAAGCTCTCTGAGGCAGGAGGACTATTCTCATTTTGAATTTTGAACATTATTTGTCACCTTATCAGCAACTCGCACAATAGTATATGTAACTGTTCTGTCCTTGCTATAGAAAATGACACAATCCCCTGTTCATTGATACAGACCCTGACAGATCCCCTGACAGGACAGATTTGATTTAGATCAAGAAAAGAATACATACTGAAGATGGTTGTGTATGGTGGTTACACAAGATTTATGCTGCCTGTGGAAATGTACAGATGACACTCCTCTGGCACTAAGTCAGGACAGCTCAGAAAGACAACAACTGATTCAATAAAAATTTAACCAGGACAAAATGGCAACTTAAAAATCTTCAAATGGCACTGTGTCTTTGTGTCTGTCCCTCACTTTGCATCTCAGGCTATTTTTATTCTATTGGAAGAGACTCTAAAAGGTTTATGACTCTTCAGCTCATATTCAAGGGACTGATCTTAGTGGTTAGAAGAACATCCACCAACTTGGTCTAAAGTTCGTTTATCATCAGTCACATATCATTAGTAGTTTCTGTTTACAAATCGGGATGTTAAAATAAATATCTTGATTTAACTAAACCCACAAAAAAGCAGAGAATGGTGCTCCAGAGGAACAGTCTCAGTTCTTTTCTAGGAAGATGGAAAGGAAATGGAAAGGAAGGGTTTGCCTAAGACAGGATCCCCAGGCATCTGGTTAGACAACCAGCTTGACAGCTCAGTGACTGCCAAGTATAAAAAGACAAACTTCCTTAAACTGTTTTTGAGCTGCTACTTTACAAAATACAATCCTAAACTAAGTATAACCTTCACCATCAAAGCAAAATCTCAGCCTCCATGAAGTCACCAGCAAAAATTACCACTGCTTTTACTCAGCTCAGATTCACATTTTGTTGTATGAGGCTCACATGACAAAATGCAGGCATTTACACTCTGGTTAACCACCCAGCTCCCCTTCATCATCCCCAAAGGAAAATAGACACTCATCTTCTCCAAGAGAAGATATCTAAAATAGGTCGACTGATTTATATCCAAAAATGCTTTTTTACCTCCTCAGGCTGAAACAAAGTTTTAAGTGACAAGCTCTATATTCCAGATACCTAAAATAAGCAGAAAGGAACCCACGTAGAATTTTATTCTTGGTTTTCAAATGAAAACATAACTTGTGTCAATGGAACCAAGCACACAATACAGACTGCTCTGTGGAAAACACAGTTATTCATCACTCCTTCACCAGGAAGTCTCCAGATCTTAAGATACCAGAGAATGACATAGAAACTTGGAAATGTTAACTGTCCATACTGATCAATGAGTTGAAATAAACTTTTCAAATAATTTGACCAGGGTTCCTCTAGATCCCAAAAGATTAGCACGAGTGATAACTCATAATGGAATTTCTATTCTAATAAAGCTACTTCAGCCGTTCTGTGTATTTTCTGTATTGTATCATTAGGTTTCAGTATCTCTTCACAGATGAAAAATGAATGGAACAATAATAATTTTGCCTCTCTGCAGTTTCAACATCTTAATTGTACTCCTCACTACGACAGGATACACTCAATGATTTACTCTACATCACTTACCCCTGAGGTGTCTTGGATTCAATTATTTACACAGGAGTTAAATCCTCACTGTGGATAACTTTCCCAAAATTCCACCCAACTTCAAAAATCTGTCCTCTGATTTTCCCCTTATCTGCCAAAACTAACATTCTATTGGTAACTTCTGAACTGGATTCCTAGGATCAGCAGAGGAAAGTCTTGTGGTCTCTATGTCATATACCATAGAAAATTTTTTTCCTTGGATTTTTGTCAACACTGGTTGTTTCTAACAATGGATATTGATTACTCAGATCTTCGTTTCCTTGTTTTTCCTTTCTTACTGTTTCTAGCTAATTATGTTACCTAAAACTATGCATCATATCTCCTACCACACCTTGGAGGAGATCAGATTAGACAGATGGAAGTATTCCAGTAAGACACAAACAACAGAGCTACAATATAGAAAAATCAAGATCATAACAGTAATTCTAGAACTGAAAATTGTGAAACATGCAAATATCAGAAAATAGCCATGTCTTTTCCAAAATAAATTAAAATTCTTATCTAGATCCTCTTTACGCTTCAAATATGTAACAGTAAGATGTATGAATTTTCTGAGGAAAAAAAGAAAAAGCTAAATATTGAATGCACATAACCAGAGGAAACTTTTCCAATTTCTACCATGACCACAACTTTGGCTAGTCATCAGTACATCATTTCAATAACTCAATCAAATAAATTGCAGTAATTCCATAATACCATGTTATTTATGGATGCAACGTGCATTAAAAAGAAAAAAAGCCTATTTAAATAACAGAATGTTAGAGTGGAACAGGACTCAAGCATTCAAGAGCTGTGAAAAAGAACATGCATCTTACATAGGAAGTACTGTGCTTGAGAAAATTATTTATCCCCTCTACAGTCACCATTTCCATCTTTCTTCTTAAACACACAGTTTTACTTTACGTATACATAGCAAATTTCATTTTCCAACTTATTGGTGCGATTTTCCCATTTGATAGATTAAATAACTTTAACAGTTTGCTTACCCCTCAGCTCAGTGAAGAATATGCAAATGACATCATCTATATAAGGCAGTGAATATTTTAGAGAAGAAACTAATTTTTTTTTCTTATGGTCTTACAACCTTCACAATTTTCTAAGACCTTTCTCCTGCTTCACTCTTCATCTTTAGAGCTGCTACATGACAAGTACAAAGGCTCATTCTCAAAGAGGGCCCTTCCACCCCGCAGATTACCATGGTTCAAAACAAAGAAATCTTTCAAAATATTTCAAGAGGTAATTATTAATATCAAGATCTTAATAAATCACAGAGTTGGGCCTGGAATCTTATTTCAGTGTATCGTTTATTATTATATTTCAGTATATTTAAGACTCCATTTCAGTATTTAATAGGCTCTGAAGTCTTTTTTGTGTTATGACATTTTCTGTAGCTGACACCTTCTTTTCCAGAAGAAGGACTCAATAGCTTTTTACAGCATGTTCTTTTAAAATGCACTCTGTAATGAAGGCCTGATTCATTATTAAAAAAAAAAAGTCACAATCATCAAAAGCAATTTTGAATACAAAGAGTAATCTGTTCTTACAAGTCAGGACTGAAGTATACAAACACTGTCGTTAGCGACAATTAAGTAACAACCCCTGAAGCATTGATATCAGCCTTCTTTTTAAGAAATACTAGAATTTCCATTAAAGGAAAACTTAAAAATTCTTCAGCTGTCCATTAGATGACTTACACGTGTACCCCTCTTTACAGTACAACTGAAACCTGTGAGTGAGCTCAAAAATCAGCAGAAACAACTACATCAAGACTAACAGACAGCATGATTGTTTTAAGTGCCGTTTCCTTCAGAAACCAAGCCAAAAGAATACTCATTTCAGACCAGAAATGCCTGAAATGTACCAGAGTCTCTGTAGGAAAAAAAAAGAAATCAGAGTGCTGACGAAAAGAGAAAAGGAACTGCAGAAAAAGGTAACTGGAAAGTACACCACATCCATCTATTCAACAGTTTATGATATATAAAATACATTGTTTTCACTCAATTATAATCCAAGATTTATTTTCATATTAATGGTAACAAACCATAACAAGGGAGGGAGTTTCTATCATTTATATCCTGATTAGTCAATAACCTGGAGGTTTAATGCAGAATCAAACAAGCAAATAATTATTCAGATCAGTCCGACCAGAGTTTAATGAACAGTTTTAATTTTCTGGAAGAAAGAAGTTTATTCTCCTTCAAGAACACTAAATCTGTTTTATTTCCTGCCACCAGTTTCAAACAATTGCTTAATATTTTAAGTTAGTTCCACAGTAGACAACTATACACTGAATATAAAAGTTTTATACACAACATATATATGCACTAAATAGGACTTCAAATGAATTTTATTTTCATTATCCTTTTAATTTTTACCTCTAAGATAACTAAATCTTGATGCTTAAGCTTTTTCTACACACACAAAAATAACTGAATAAGTTTTATTAATTAGTATCCTACAACTGCATGAAAACTAATTAAAAGACACTGTAACTTAAGATTTGAAGTCTTTTCAGAAGGACTTACTAGCATAATACTTTTTAAATTTCATTATTTATTTTATAAGCATATAAGTCTAAAATCTGTACTTACTTCAACATGTGCAAGTAACGTTTGTTCAATGTTATCATTGGTTTTCTCCTTGAGATCTTGTGGGATGTGTCTATTTCTTACTTGGAAATGCATTTTACTAAGATAACCATCACCAAGGTCCTGTGTTCAGGAAAAAAAAAAGAAAAAAATTTTCTGTAATCAAAATGCTAAATGCCATCAATGTTCTAGAAAATAAACAGAGCATGGTATTTAGGTACAAGCTCCAGGTCCTTTTATAGGCACTGATGACTACACTGCTCCTCAGCATCTTCTAACAGGTAGTGTGCTGCTTTAAAGGTAAACCGGCAGGGGAAATGAACCTAACTCAAAAGAGATTATAAGTCAGAATAACAATTTAATAAAAATAATACAATAAATACAATTACACAGACAAACAATTGGTTTTAACCCACAAAACCCAGATGTATAACCCAGCACCCTGGGGCATGAACAGACTGGTGTTCGTTGGGCTCCCCCTCCCCGTGCTGAGCCCCACGTGGTCCCCCTGAGTCCAAAAAGTAAAAGGAGAGGGAAAATCTGCTGGTGAGAGTGTTGGTTGCAGTCCGGTCGAGGCTGGTTATCGCAGTCCGGGTGGGAGCACTGTTTCAGTCTGGTCGAGAGTGGTGATTGCAGTCTGGTTGAGAGTGGTAGTCACAGTCTGGTCGAGAGTAGTGGTCTCAGTCTAGTCCAAGTTCCAGTCCTTCTCTGGATCCCAACAGTGGCACAGAAGTCCCAGACCCCAAGATTACGTATCCTCAGGTTCAGGCAGGAATGCTCAGCACCTCCCTCAGGGTGGGGGATTCCACAATGGGCGTGAGGACAGGAGCATCCTCCTATCTCACAGGCCTCTTAACACCCAGCTTATAGCCTGAGGGGTCAGCCGTGCTCTGGGCAGATGGTGTAAATGGTCTACTGTTTACAGTTTCTGGGAAATGGCATGGAAGGCTATAGAATATACAGTTTTGGGTTACACCCACACAGTGATGAGCTGGTCCCAGCTGTTTTAACTAGGACAGGTAGTTTATACCAGTTCTTAGTGTTAGAGGAAGTCAAAGACCTGGACAGCAAAAATAAAGTTTAATATAGCTATTAACGGAAAAAGACAACTGCTTTGGATGAGTGCCAAAGAACTGGATGATGATGCACTGAGGTCATGAAGAGATGAGGAGCTATTAATGATTTTGACCTATTTCAACCAATGCATTCATGCCAGTATTAACCGCCCAACTCTTGTAAGATTGGTTTGGGTTTGTTCTGTTTCATCCTCTAACTTTACAGAGCCCTGAAAATACAAACCAAAACAAAACCACCTCAGAACTTATGTGTGCAGAGTCACAATTTGTTCCTTTCTCTTGAACACCTCTGAAGGTCAAATGTAAGAAAAAACAGACAAAGCTGTGCCTTCTCCTAGTTCCCTTTTTATCATTCTGCTTCCTAGGCACCATGGTCTAGAGTTCTAAGGGTCCCTTGTGCAACAGCAGAGCAGTAGGAGAAGGGTTTGGGAGCTTTCCCCGCCCTTGCTGGCCTGACTACCCGCACACAAATATAAGCATATTATTTTTGTTAATTAGAAGCAAGAGGAAAGAAAATGTTTAGTAATAGAGCCCTTCAAAAAGGTACACTCTGAAAGAGAAAAAGCATATACAGAACATAAAGAACAATAGCTGCACGTTAAGAACTTACTTCTCAAAGGAAACAAATAAATTGGGGGTTTATCAGCTGTTTCATTACATTTTATTTTAGAGAAACACAGATAGCATATGCACAGCATCTGATGAAAAAGGATTCTATTCCAAACAGCCTCATTACAAAATTCATTAATGTAGCACTAAATTACCAGACAAGACTGCAAATTTAAATATAATTTAACTCTTTGGTCAATCTGTTGTTGCTGACACAGTTTATTCCATATATTCTGACCTTTAAACCAACACAGGTTTTACACTGACACACTGGTTCTCTCTTTTCAAGGACACTTTATGTACCTCCAAAAACTGCTGTGGGCTACTTGTTTACTTTGCTCTGATCAAGTTTCACACATTAAAAAAGATAATGCCCTCTACATGTATTTTTTCCATAAATTTTTAAGCATGAATAACATTATAGGCAGTATTTATATATACATATATATATATATATGTATACACACACACATATTACATTTGTCACAACTTCTCCTACTGCATGCCTTATTTTCTCAATAAATCTCATCAAGAACATGAATATACTAAACTTTCTGGATGTTCTGGCTGCAGAGCCAACTGCAGCCTGTGCAGTGATGAATCCAGCACGCAGAGAACAACAGTGATAGAAAAACTAAAACTAACTTGGTGACACAAAATCCCCTCCTCTCACTCTCAACACCCTCTCAAGCGTCTGCTTATGGAGCTCCCTGTGAATAAAGATACCTGCACAGGTATTTATCCCACTAAGAGCAGAAAAAAGTGCTTCAGCCTCCCACAGAAGTGAAATGTCCCAAGGCACAACGAGCTTTGCCACAGAAAGGTTGGATGGAGCCTTCACCTCCCTGAACCAGTTCTTTCCATCAACAGAATGGAGTCAAACTCCACATCCATGAAAAAAACTGTATGGATAGCTGGAGACATGGAGCTGGCAGTCTCTGTCTAACAGGTGTATGTCACAGAACAAAGAGGAGGAGGCAGGAGAGAAGCATCCCTCCTGTACTTTATACATTTCTGCCCCCATAAATAAATTAATGCTTTAGGAAGGACCTTGATTCCACTAACGTGGAAGGAGAGTTCATTTCTACTCCATCTGTGAGTACCACAGGCAGAAGGGAATTAACACAGCTTTTGGTATGATTACCTAGATTAAAGTGGCTACATACGAAACAAACACAAAGCACAAAGCAAACAGGGCGTTGTTTGCTTTAGTTAAATCTCAGCCTTCACAGCCAAGATTTAACCATTCACGCCTAACAACAGCACCCAAGTTTAGGTCCATCAGCTCCTGCAGTAGAGGTGCTCTTGGCTTTTTTACAGCTTTCTTTGTGTGGAAAAAAAACAAATCAAACCAAAACAAAACACCCCAGATTATAAAAATAACATCATTTAGAACATTTCACAGCTATAAATACAGGGTTCTGCTTGGGCCATGTGAGCTTATGCCACAAGAGCCAGCTCCACACAAATAATGAGTATTTCATCACCTAAATTTAATCTCCACATAAAACACGGGAACACAGGAACACAGTTCTATGAGCCTGGTTTACTTGTGTGGTCTTACTGCTATCAATGGGTCTATTCACGGAGTATAGAATGACGAATGGGATCCAAGTGCATTACATCAGCAAAATTAAGAGTGTCCCAAACTACCCACAATACATACATCGGGGAAAAAAAAAAGGGGGGGGGGCAAAAAGACAATGAGACATCTTGTTCAGGAAAAGCTTTCTTCCCAGGCTACATACTGTAGATGGATGGTCTCCACAGCCAGGTTTTTATCACACACTAAAATCACAGAGTCACCAACTTGGCCCATTAAAAAAAAAAATCCTCTTAGTATTTTTTTATATGAGAACAAAAATCTCTCATTCTGCTACTCCCAGCAAAACTTCTTATTTCACAGAAAGTTCAGACTCTGACCCACGTACTAAACTCCCAAGAGTCTCAGAGCGTCTTTCTCTGTTGAATAAATCCTCACACATATAGCCCTGGACTAAAATCTAAAGTTTCAAATGGTTTTCTGTAAGAAAAGGTGTATTGTAACACTTGGTTAATATTTGCACTTTTTTAAAAACTCCTAAACAGAACAAACCTAAGTCCAAAATCCTGCTTCCTACTGAAACTCTGATCATCTGTGATGCAAGGGTTACAACTGTTAATGTACAGTTACTTATGTAGAAATGATGGCAAACATTGGAAAAAGCATGATTTTTCTCCCCAAAATTCATGAAAGCATGGGAAACCACTAAAGCCATTAAACTTTAAAATAAATAAAAAAAGGTAGAGTAGAGCAGTAATTTTTCTGCAGTAGAATACATAGACAAACCTAGATGCTGGAGAAACCCAGCATGTATCAATACATCTTTATATACTTTATCAGTACACCTTTATACACTATAATACATAGTATATAGTGGCTATTCACGTAACTATTCACCTATTTCTGTAACTATTCACATTAGTTTGACCTCATCCCAAACAAAAATAACAGAAGTCATATGGAATTCAGTAAATAGATACATACAGTAAATGTAATTTTTTAGAGAAAATAGAATTTGTCTATTAACTTAAAAATACCTGTTTGATTCATAAACATAGAAGTTGGAAAAGTGCATGCCCAGAATTCCGAAAGATATCTGTTAATTCCATGAGTGGAAAATAAAAAAAATAAAATAATCCCACACTGATCTCAGACATACTAAAGGATAAAAAAATTATTAATTCAAAGATCTCAAATGTAACTTTAAAAATGGGTAAATCATCATAAAAGAAGTGATTCTAATGGGATCCTGTGGGACTACTCTTAGCCCTCTGCTATTTAAAATTTTGATTAATGACCTAGAAACAATATGTATTATTGGAGAGGTTTGAAAATTATGGGGAAGCAGCAAATAATGAGAATTGAACATTGACACTGACAGATTCTTCTGGTTGTTGTATGCAACTGACAAGTATTTTTACAAAAATACTAAGCCACAGATCTAGAACAAAGACTATGTGCTAATTCAGCTTAAAGGATTGAAATGAATCTTGGATATAAAACCATGGGCAGTTGCCCAGAGTAGGAAGGTTTCAATTTCACAGTGATACTACATTCATTGTCTAGTTCTGTCCAAAGTTGAAAATGGACTTTTATATCCTGGACAGGACTCAGAGACCTACAACTCTATTCAATATATGCACTGGCCTAAACCCTCATGTCAACCACCTGTGCATTATTTTAGTCTTGGACCTGCTGTGCAAAAAAATGCCAGTTATTTCACATGTTGCTAAAGGATGTTCCAGCTTGTGGTGGTTGTCAACAGCTCAAAAAGGCCATCAAGGGTACCTAAAAGTTAACACCATGATTGTTTTACCTTGCTAGTTCTCCACTCCCAGCCATCTCCTATCTGCTGTGAATGCTTAACAAATTCTTCACAGTGCTGCTTGAATCTTTTTTCTTCTAAAAAGAAATCTTCTTCACCTGCCATGCTACAGGGTATCTGCAGAGCAAACTGAATGTTAGCACTGGCAGACAAAAAAAAAAACTAAAACATTTCAATTTATAGCAACTGAACAATAAAACAACAAGGCACGGGCAAAGAAAATGTATTGCTTTAAGTAAAACAAAGACACATTTCTTCAAGTACATTAAGGAATCATGGCTATGCAGAACAGCTGAGGGGGGAAGAGACCCTTGGAGGTTGTCTAGTCCATTCCCCCCCGCTTACAGCAGTGTCAGCAACTACAGCAGTTTCCTCGGGATCATTTCTGTTTGGCTTTTGATTATCTCCAAGGATACAGATGCCACAGCCTCTCTAGGAAACCTGTTCCAGTGCTCCACTACCATAGCAGTAAATCTTTTTTCTTCTGCTTGACCAAAAACATTTCTTAGTTTGTGCTCATTGCATCTTGTGCTGCTGCTCCGTGGTACTGAAAAAAAGTCTGGCTCCATCATCTTTATTCCCTCCCACCACATATTCACAGATATTTATAAGATCTCAGCTGATGAGTCTCACCTCTCCCAACCTTGTCTTGTATGTCACACACTCTTAATCAGCTTTAGGGTCCAGTATGGTGGTGTCTCTCCTGTATTGGGGAGCCTAGAGCTGCAGTTTTAACATGTATTTCCTTAGCAGGAGTTCAAGAGGCAACCAGGAACCTGAGCTACCTCTGAGCTACTTCCATAGGCCTACCACCTTCTCCTTGGAGAAACAACAATTAAACAACTCTAGACTATACGATGGCCATGAGAGTCCAGCTGAAGCAGTTCCAGGTCATACGAGCAGTATAGCTCCTGCATTTCCAAAAGTGTGGCTTCAAACCCTTCCCTACCCCTCAAATGGATCCCTCACATCATCCTAAAGATAAACACTTTCTCAGAAAACGTAGTCATTTTTACTTTCCTCCTTCCCCATTTCAATAAGAATGTGTCACAAATAGAGCTGGTTTATGGTGTTTATAGACACCAGGCAGCACTGCAGCATCACATACAAATCATGGAATGACAGAATGGTTTGGACTGGGAGGGATTTTAAAGCTCATCCAATCCCACCCACTGCCATGGGCAGGGACACCTTCAATTATCCCAGACTGCTCCAAGCCCTGTCCAACCTGACCTTGACACTTCCAGGAACAGAGCATCCATAGATGCTTCAGATCCCTCATCATCTGTGTGGCCTCTGCTGGACCCTCTCCAGCAGCTCCTGGTCTTTCTTGTCCTGAGGAACTAGACACACTGTTCCAGATGTGGCCCCACTAGGGCTGAGCAGAGGGGCAGGCTCCCCTCTCTGATCTGCTGGCCACACTCTTCCTGATGCACCCCAGGATCCCACTGTCCCTCCTATACACCAGTATACCTGTGTAACAGAATTGTACAGCACAGCACACCACCCTTTCTCAGACCATCCCAAAAGAACAGTTCAGGAAAGACCAGGAGATACTGGAAAGGGTCCAGCAGAGGCCACAGAGATGATGAGGGGTCTGGAACATCTCCCTGATGAACACAGATTGCAGGACCTGGGCCTGGTTAGTCTGGAGAGGAGAAGACTGAGAGGGGATCCCATCAATCCACACCAATATCCCCAAGGGATGTCACAACATGATCCCAGACTGTTCAGTGATGCCCAGGGACAGCAGCAAAGGCCATAAACTCAAACACAACAAGTTCCCCCTCAACATGAGGTAGAACTTCTTTCCATGGAGGTGGCAGAGCCTGGAACAGCTGTCCAGAGTGGGTGTGGAGTCTCCCTTGTCTGAAGACATCCCAGACCCACCTGGACACGTCCCTGTGTCACCTGCTCCAGATGACCCTGCCTGGGCTGCGGTTGGACTGGATGATCTCCAGAGGTTCCTTCTAACCTCAAATATCCTGGGACTCCGTGAAAGAGCCACGGGTAGACCCGAGCGCGTCCATCCCACTCGGACACGGGCCTCGCCAGCCGCTGGAGGCCAGGTCAGCACCGGACAGGCTCTTCCTCCTTCTCCTCGGCCTTCCCGGTCCCGGGACGACCCTCGCGGCCCCGCGGACGGGGTGGGGCAGAGCGGTAGAGGCAGTGGGAGGTGGCTGGAGCGGGAGGGACGACCCCCGGCTCACCGCCCCCACATACCGTGCGCTCCTGCTCCTCCTCCTCCCTCCCCTTTTCCTCCTCTTTTCCTCCTCCTCCTTCTCCCGCCGGCCCCGTCCCGTCCCGCGCGCATGCGCGGCCCCGCGGGGGGGGGGGGGCGAAGAGGGAGGGAGGGAGGAAGTCGCGCGTGCGCAGAGCAGGGATGTGGGGAACGGGAAATCGGGAACGGGGTGATGACGGGAATGAGGGAGCGGGAGCGATGGGGGGCTCCGGGCGATGGAGAGGCTGGTGGGTTTGACTGGGATAAGGGGGAAAGAGGGGGCTGAGGGATGAGGAGGATGAAGGGGCGGGGGGGATGAGGGGCTGCAGGACCTGAGGGGGTGGCGGGGGATGAGGGGACTGAAGGGGATAAGGAGGATGCGGGAATGAGGAGGATCTGCCGTTGAGGGGGATGAGGAACCTGAAGGGGTGACGGGGGATGAGAGGGCTGTGGGACTGAGGGAGCTACGAGGGATTAGGGGACTAAAGGGATGAGGGGGTTGTGAGGCTGAGAGGCATGAGGAGGGGTGGCAGGGTGTGAAGATCATGACGGGGATGAGGGGACCGAAAGGGATGCAGGAATGAGGGGGATGAAGGACCTGAGGGGGATGTGGGGAATCTAGGGGATGAGCAGCTCAGGGACTTTGAGGGGCTGCAGGAGATGAGGGGGGTCTGGGGCTGGGGAGGTACGAGAGGGCAGCGGGGATGAGGGGGATAAGGTGGGGATGAGGGGGATATGAGGGATTATGAGAGGTCTGTGGGAATGAGGAAGCTACAAGGGATAAGGATACTGAAGGGATGAGGGGGAATGCAGAGATGAGGGGGTGTCAGGGGCTGAGGGGGATGAAGGTCATAAGCAGGGTGAGGGTCCTGCCTGCCCCAGCCCAGTTGTTCCCAGTGTGAGGCACTGCGAGGGGCAGGTTCCCAGCCAGGCCCTGGAAAAGCCCTCCCTGTCGTCCAGCTCTGCTGTCAGTCTCCTCCCACCCCCTAAAAATGTGAGCCCAGCTCAGCCCAGCCCAGACTGTTCTTCTTCCAGGAGCTCAGCAATGCCAGCGTTCATCTAAACATTGATCACTTTCCCAGGTTTAGTTACCTTCCTCTCCAATAGGATAAATATATAAATCTTACTTTTTGAGGAGGGGGAAGTGGGAAGTTAAAATGGCCATGCGGACACCTGAGCACTGTGTCACCTCATGCTCCTTCCTCAGCCACTTCCAGAAGATGCCCAATAGTATTTTAGCGTTCCTTCCACTACCCAGATCATAGTCTCTGTAACTGCCTGTAGATCTGAGAGTTTGGTAGGTGTGCCAAAGTTGGTTTGCTACACAAATGCTGGGAGAATTATTTTTAAATCTATGAGTCTATTAAACAATAAATTTTCCACTGGTAAAGTCTTGTCTGGTACGACTAAGCTTTCCAAACTGCAGTGGGTGGAGGGTGCACTACGTTGGGATAGATGTAAAGTGTTTGTTTGACCTATTTAGCTCTAAACTGTTATTTTAAATGGTTTCGTGACTGTTAACAGTATACCAGAGCTACCCCATCAGTGTGGAGACCACACTGCTCAGGGAGAGCCTCCATATGCAAGTGGTGAGTTGTGATGTGACATTCTCCAACTGTGCCCTTCCTAATTTCCTTGTGATTTACTGTGTGTGGAGAGGTCATGAGAGACCAAGTTTTGGTGGGCTTTTTTCTGGAATATTCCTGAAATATACCATTTCTCTTTGTTCTTAAAATTCCTGTAAGCATCCAAGTCTTTCAAATATGTACCTTAATTGGTATTTAAAGATGATTTTCACTACTCCAAATCAATTAAATGTTCTATCTAAGTTTGCAGTTTTTAACATGAGGTATAAATAAGCTGAGTTTTGCTTCGTTAAGTTATTCTGGAGAATTATAAATGGCATGATGTGCCCCCATAGTTAGTATTTTGACTGCATATGTCATCTTTAAAAGCAGCTGCATAGATTGGGTGATGCCATTATAACTACAGGGTGTGATGCTGTAGCTATTTTTTAATCACCAGAATTAATTATTGGTCTCATTCTTCACCGTTTATTTTAAATGTTGGTGTTTTGAAATTTGGTGAGTAAAACACCAAGTTGTCACCCAGCCCTGAGTTTTGAGGGAGAATTTCTGCACTGTGGAGTGTAGTCTCTAAGCCATTTTTTCGCTAGCAGAAAACGCCTGTGGTATTGAAAAAATGTCACATAATGTGCATTGCCTCGGAAGCTACAGCTCCTGATTTCTAATTTTAGCTTTGTTACTGTGTCTCTGATTTTCTTAGGGAAGAATTGTTGGGTTTGAGACACAGTTCATATAAAAAGTGGCTGATGGGCCACTCATGATGCCCTGATGTTTCAACAGAGTCAGCAAAGGAGTTGCCATGGCTGAAAAAAATCAGGCTGATGGGATTCACGGTATGTTCTTGTAGCACCTAGTATCAGCTTGGTCATCTCCAGTACCGTTGCCAGGGCACTGCAGTTGGTTGAGTGCCTTTTTATCAAGGGAAAGCATTTGCTGTGGTTCTAAAATTACTGGATAATAAGTCCCAAAATGGGGGTTTCTCCCCTTTCTCTTCCTCCTTTTACCTGAATAAATGCCTCAGGTTTCCATTTCATCTCTGCCATACAAAAGCATGAACAGTCCTGGTCCTCTTGTCACTATTAGATGTTTATGTACTTAAATGCATAAAAGGTTATCAGACCATTTTGTTTTCTTTTAAACATATTAATATGCATTTAGAATATATATTTTTTATATATCATCATTGATTGATGGTGATGAATGACCAAAATCATTGATACAAGTATCAAAATTTTGTCAAATGTTAGAAAAATTATAATTTTTGAGAATAAACTATATTTGTCATAGGAACTTTGTTGATTGGGAATTTTAGAACTGGACTAAATAAAGATCATGGAGAATAATCCTTTATCATCCAGACTGAATGATCTCTGTAAGGTCTTTTTCATCTCTTCATCCTGCTCTTTTGTCCCAGGAAACACAGCTTCATTCCAAGCCCATTGATCAGTCAGGCAGTTCAGGCAGCACTCTACTCTCCAAAGGAAAATGGTGACATTACAGCTCTTGGAGTGACAGAATTAACACAATATACATCCAATTCCATGAATCCCCCTCAGTGTGGCTCCTCTTCTGAGCCATTCACAGTAATCCTAATGCTGTTTCTTACATTTTGTTCTTTGATTACTCTTAATTTCTGATGCTGAGTGCTGTTGCTAGACAAAAAGATACAATAATCTGTTCCTGCCAGTACCTGGGTTGCAAAAGTTTTTGATAAAAGAATATTGCCAGGCAGGCCAAATCAGAAATAATGGGGCAACCAAAGCAAAATGCTGATGAAAACACCTTGTGAGGCTGTTGGAGAGCATGTTCAAACTCATTCACTTGTGCTGTAACACAAAGTTCCTTCATTTGCTGTACTAATACGTAATAAGAATTAAAAGTAACATACTGTGCATTCTCCTGCTTTGTTTGTTCAGAGAGTTGAAATTCTAACCCCTGACAGAACTTGGTGAGTGGAGAGTTACTCTTTCCAAATTGTTAACAAACCAAATTTTACTGAAATCACTGTAATACCACCATGCTCCTATGAAGTACACAGGGAGTGTTATTTTTCCTTTTGCTGGCAGAAAAGGAGGAATCCACTAACCTGTTGAAGGCTGTGGGGACTGCTCAGCCAGTGAATGGAGCTGAATTTTGTTGACACGTGGTCTGTGCCTTCAACTGTTCGTGCTCTTGAGCCCTGTGACTGTGCTGAGAGAAAGTTCAAAAGGAAATAAACTGAGAACTACACAAACAGCATTCATTTTTCATGAGGGTTTTTCACTCCACCAGCAAACACTTCCAACCAGCACTGAAGGAAGTACTGCCACTATGCAGCAGTTGTTGCCACCTTCTGTTTTTAGCAGTTTTCCCTACTTATTTCTTTTTTACAAAAGTTTATTAATTCTTTCAGAATTTGTATCATTTTTTCATCTGTTTTGTATTCTCTTTCTGTTACTGTTAATTCATGTTCCTTTCTTGTTTTCCTTAATTTTTTGTCTCCTATTAGCCCAATACATATGAAACTCAACTTCAGACAGACTCTATAGTAAATACATATAATTGTAATAAATGAGTTCTTGTCTTTCTCTCTTGTTTTACTAAACCAGCACAGCAAACCCTTATTAAACCAGCAAACCTACACTACCACTGTCCAGTTTGCTAAAACCAGACAAGTCAGAAACCAATCAGTGTGTGAAATATTTTTGTAAGTAGATCAGAACTAGGATTAATTTTACTGAAATAGCATAAATAAAGCCTGATGCTAAGATCCATGGTAAATTACTCATCTGGTACAGGTCTGCAGAATTCTGCTACTTGAGGAGACTGATCCAATTGAAGAATGAGAGGGAATTTTTGGATGAAAATGACAGACTGATGTTGTTGTTGTTTTAAAATGAAGTAATTCAACCACAGAAACCATCCAGAAGCCAAGCAAGAAGTAACATAAGCCCTAGCGGACAACACTTATTGTTACTGATTATTACTGCCAAAACTGTAGGTGAATTCCTCATTACAAGGCGAATACTTTTGAACAAATGAATAGTAACGAGAATTTGAATTCCATCAAAATGCATAAAACACTAAACAAACACTGTTTTTTAATGAATCTGGTAGAAGTCGTAACACAAGTCTGACACCTACTCAGATCCTGTAAATTTGGAGTAAATTTCTGACCAACATGAAGCTGCTAAAGAACTGACAAACTTCCCCTCATGGTCGGTCTAACACACACCAATTGAAATAATCCCTTCAGGGCTGTTCTCCAATCCATATCAAACAC